TTTTTTTTTAAATTTATTATTATTACTCTTTAGATAAACAATTTAAAACAAAAGTATAATTATAATTAAAAGATATATAATTATTCTTCATTAACGCGTGTTTTGAATTTTCAATCATAATTAATTAATTTTTGAAGAAAGGAAAAAAAAAAGGAAAAATTGAGTGATTCAGGTCGTGGTAAGTCAATGAAACCTACCCCAACAGGAGGAGAGAGTGGAGGCAGAGCCATGATCTAATTAGAAGAGATGAAAAAGGAAAAGAAAAGGTGAGAGACAGAGACAACCACGGCTTCATTCTCTTAAAATGGAAACATGTGAGTGATGAGAGAATGAACGATGAATCCAAAAATAAGAATAAAGAAATTCTGTTATTGATTTCGTGGTTATTATCTTCCCTCGCTCGTTCGCGCTTCCTTCTATTCGGTTCGTATACTTTCCAATACCATAATCAAAGCTGCAGGTTGGATCCGTTCCAACATGTAGAGCATGCTCGCTGGCACTCTCTGTTTGTTGATTGATTGATTCATTGATTGATTGTGAGAAGCTTTTGTGGTGCGGAATCCTTCGGCGGCGGCCATGGAAAATATTGCCGCGCAGCTGAAGCGCGGCATCTCGCGGCAGTTTTCGTCGGGGTCGCTGCGGAAGAGCCTGAGCCGGCAGTTCACGCGCCAGGCCTCGCTCGATCCACGCCGGAACAACCAGCGGTTCAGCTTCGGGCGGCAGTCGTCGTTGGATCCGATACGGAGGAGCCCCGAACACGACGAGGCGGAGCTCACCGTGCCAGATAACCTTGACTCCACCATGCAGCTGCTCTTCATGGCGTGCCGAGGCGACGTCAAGGGGGTTGAGGATTTGCTCAACGAAGGCATCGACGTCAACAGTATCGACCTCGACGGCCGCACCGCCCTCCACATCGCCGCCTGCGAAGGTCACGCCGAGGTTGCCCGGCTCCTCCTCACCCGCAAGGCCAACATCGACGCTCGCGATCGCTGGGGCAGTACCGTAATTTCCTATCTCTTCTACTCATTATTAATTTATTATAGAATTATCGTGTATATTACTGTTATTAATTTAATTTAAATCCACTGATAATTTAAACCGTCAACTTTTGACTTCGGAGACAGATTTCCATACTTGCTCCACAATTTTCGTTCTGTCCGTCAATTATTTTTAGCCTTTAGAGTAATCAGCTTATAATATAATATTAAACGTCTCTTACTTTTTGTATGGTTTACTTAAGAAAAAAGTAGTTGGTTTGTTTGAAAAAAAGTTGAATATATGACATGGTTTTTTATTTTTTATTTATTTCATGTTTTAGACATATCATGTTTTTTTGTGTTTGGTGTCTCTGTTTTATACTTCAAACATATTGCATGTGTTGGGTCTGGTCTTTATTTAAGAGAAACTATTATCTAATATTATATCATATTGTTATATCTAGTCTTAGCTAATTCTTTTTTAACACAACGCCCTATATATCAACATCTTATCAACGTCTGAATATGTTATTTATTTATATATATTTTTTTGTTTTTGTAGTCAGAGTGGTAAATGGATAGTATGACTATGTGCTCCTGACTGTTCATTTATCTTTTTATTTGTGGATAAATAATTTAGTCAATTCACAGACAGTACATCTAGTAATGAATTGCATTGTTTAGGTAATTTTAAATTCTGGAAAATTCTTCGCAATTGTTTTTTTTTTAAATATTAAAGGTATATCATAACCATAAAAAATACTTAAATTATTCATGTATAATTTTTTTTATTGAAATCAGAATAGATTTATACTTGGAACCAGGTAATACTTTTCTCCGAGTTGGAGTTCGTGTTTCATAGAATATGAAGAAATATATTTAATAATAATCACGACAAAATTGAAGAATTTTTTCATATTGTCTATAAAAATTATGATAGGAAGTACTGGATTTTGACTTGAAAGGTAGATTATGTGAAAATCAGTAACTTGAACGTGACACTTACCTACAAAATCTTCCGCCTCATGTGCTCCACTTTCCCCTGAAAGTGTGACATGGAATAAATGCCTTGCAGGATTCGGCATTTCTAAACCGCGAAATCCTCAGTTTCGATTTGGTTGCAGATTTGATAATGAAAAAAGGGCATGACAATTAAATCTATTCCTATCGTAATTTAAAAAATTGTCGATGAATCAAAATAGTGTTTTAATGATTTTTTGAGATAGATATTATAAAACGAATTTAGTTGAACATTTAAATATTTGTAATTGCATGAGAATGTAAAAAATATATTCTGAGTACATTTATATTAAATTATTGCTTTAAGGTTAAAATTGATTTGTTTTTCTGTGTTAAGTGGTGATGGATGTGTGGTTGTGCAGGCGGCGGCCGATGCCAAATATTATGGAAATACAGAGATTTATTACATGTTGAAGGCTCGTGGAGCGAAAGTGCCGGTATTGTGCTACCGTTCTTTGTTTGTTAGACAAATGGTGGTAAATATGTCGGATTGAATTTAGCGACTTACTGGTTAATTATCTTTGACATGTTTAGAAAACCAGGAAGACTCCAATGACCGTTGCGAATCCTCGTGAAGTTCCGGAATATGAACTCAACCCGTTAGAGCTACAGGTTCGGAAGAGCGAAGGTATTTCAAAAGTATGTTTCTCTTTCTTTCTTTCTTACTTTCGTTGGGAACTGTGATTGAATTTTGTTCACTTGGTTATATTTTATTTGATTATTTAATAGTCATGCCCTTTCTGGGATATTATTCAACTGGGATTCCACCCGGTCATGGTATTTGTTCATGAAAAATGCAAGTTGATAATTGCAATTGAGACAACTACGATGACTCTGAGGGAGCATATTTACTTTGAAATTGATCAACTATGATAATTTGCATATGCTTAAACATTTCTTTGTAGTAATGTAATTTTCGTGACCAGTAATGTGTTACATTGTGTTTATTACTGCACGCATTAAAAAATTGTTTTGCCATATCTCGTGACCTGTGCACTGGGCTCCCTTTGGCAACCATTTGATTTTTTATTCTTTTTCCCCAATCTTTCATTTCTAATTGTTGGTACCTAATGTGGTGAATGCTTTGTGTGATCTTGTTCACGGATCTATAAACATCTGACATTTATAAAGCTAAACAGTGATGTGTGTTAAACTTGTTTGTATAGTTCTTCACTGCTGTTTGATCCGTCTATTTGCAGGGAACATATCAAGTAGCTAAATGGAATGGCACAAAGGTTGCAGTGAAGATACTTGACAAGGACAGTTATACAGATCCTGATACCATGTATGTATAGCAATTGAACATGTTTTGTGAGAGTGATTGTATGATATGCTTCTTGCGAATCAATCAGGTTGTTTGATGTTGTTTGGATAAGTTCCTGTCTGATTGCATATGTCACTACTTTTCACTTTGATTTCTGGTCTCGTAGATGGCCCGAACTGGTGTTTGTTCTTTTTTCTGTACTTTATTACTCAACCTTGGCTCTAATTTTTCACAATATCAATAATTCATTCAGAAATGCTTTCAAACATGAGCTCACATTATTAGAAAGGGTGCGACATCCCAATCTGGTCCAATTTGTTGGAGCTGTAACCCAAAATGTACCTATGATGATTGTGCGTGAGTACCATGCTAAGGTAAGCTTATCCTCTCTATCCCTCTGTATCCTCGCAGAGTAAGTTTCTCGTATGATTGTATATAACTCACTTTTCTTTGTTTATATCAATGTTTTTTTCAGGGTGATCTGGCAAGCTATCTACAAAAGAAAGGGCGTTTGTCCCCATCAAAAGTTCTACGTTTTGCTCTAGATATTGCTAGGCAAGTAACCATTTCAAGGAACTACACGGTTCTTTGAAAACACTCATGCCCTTTTCTTACTTTTATTATCTATTATATGGTCGTTGAGTTCCAAAAGGCTCCTAAAGTCATTTTCTTAGTTTTCTAAGTTTACAGTGTACTAATTGATTACAGGTTTATTGGAAATTCTAATAGATTGTTTATGTAAGCTATCTTGATAATTTGTTGTTGGCAGGGGCATGAACTATCTTCATGAATGCAAACCAGAACCGATTATTCACTGTGATTTAAAGCCAAAGTAAGATCACTTGATACAATCTGATGTTTAGTTATGACCGAGTGCATTTTGAATTAGATTTTTTCTCATGGGATTACTGTTCCTTTAATATATGAAATTTTGGTAAGGTGCCAGAAATATTTTGCTCGATAATGGAGGGCAATTGAAGATAGGCGGATTTGGCACTGCGAGATTTTCTCTCATCTCAGCTGATCAAGCAAAGCTGGTGCAGCCTGACCCTAACATTGATCTTTCAAGTAAGTTTTGAATATTCAACAGAAATGTGTTTCATTTCTTCTCCTTCCTGTGTTTGGAAGGTTTTTATAATCCAGTGTCCCATTTTCTAGCATTAAGATTCAGTTTAGTTACAACTGACTGAACATATCAGATTGGTGATTGCAATAGGAAAATCCTTTTCCGGGATGAATTATACCTTCTAAGATTGGATATGACAAATCTCATTAGCTGCCCTAAGCTTGGGTTTTAGGCCATGAAAAATGATATAATACTGTCCAGGAACTTCTTTAAATTAATTCCTATTACATCTTAAGTTCACTATATATTCTTTTAATTATTCATTTAGAATTCTATGTCAAAACTTGCTGGACTTAAGGGGATAGAGATGGAACTTTTGTTCATCATTTGGGATGTCGAGATTTTTTCCATTGCGCATACTTTACCCCCATTTGATGGTCTTATACAGTTCATTACAGTTTTGAGGTGAAGGGTCTTTTTAGACAAACTTCATATTAACTTTTAGGTGAGAAAAATACGACGAAAAAAAAAATTGAATGAGTTTCTCTAAAAGTTAAAATTAGTTTTATGTATAAGCTAAATCCTTGAGGCTCTTTCAAATATGAATTTTCTAGGTTTTTATTTTTTAACCTGTGCATAAACTAATTTTAATTTATAGAAAATTATTTAATTTTTCTTTTTATTATTCTCTTCTAGAAATCTTTATGGAAAAGTTTGTCCCAACAACCCTTAAACCCTTTTCTCTAAACTTTTTTTAACTTCTGGATTTGTTGCATTTATGGTGTGCTATGGAATGGCTGTGCTAACTGATGCCTTGTGCATCTTCTCATTTACTTTACAAGCATTGTGCACAATGCACCGGTAAAATTCAGAGCAGGAAGAATGAAAAAAATTGTCAATAGAATGGGTCTAACAAGATATACATGTTTATTGTTGTTAAATAGGATATTAGACACCCCGGCAATTTTTTGTTGTTGTAATGAAGTGTTCTTGAAGATACTGCAGCTACATATGAATAACTGTTTATATTTTATTTTGTTATAAATGTGTAATTAATTATGGGATTTTGGTGAAAGCAAAAATTGGACAATATGGAGGGGGGGTTTCTTTTAAATAACGGTAGAGATTTCAAAAGGTGAAACTGCCATTATGATAACAGAAATTTTCCTCATTGATAGTTCGATACTTGTTTCATTTCTAAACCATGGTCCCTTTGCCCAACAAATGCAAACTATAAAAGAAAACGCATACTTTGTGGAAAAATGGAAAGAAAACTGACAAGCATTTCAAGAAAGATTAAGCGATATGATTGCAGATTAGAATTGCTAAAATAAAAGTACATTTCGTGGTTATTGATTTGGTTGTATTCATTGCAGGCTTGTACGTGGCACCAGAGATTTACAAAGATGAAGTATTTGATAGAAGTGCGGATGCATATTCTTTTGGTCTCATTATATATGAGGTACCTGATTTTTGTAACACATAATAATGCCAATCTGTTATGTTTAGTATTCCGCATATTATTTGTCTATTAGTTGAAATTCAACACTTTTTTCAATTTAATGTATCATTTATGGACCCAGATGTTAGAGGGTACGCCTCCCTTCCATCCCAAGCCCTCGGAGGAGGTAGTGCAACTAATGTGCTTAGAGGGGAAAAGACCGACAATCAAGATCAAAACAAAACATTATCCTCCGGATTTGAAAGAGTTAGTCTGTTTTAAACTTAAAATTTGGTCTTCAAGCTTCAGTTTAATTTAAAAACGGTCTAACTATCGTAGTTTATGCAGGTTGATTGAGGAATGTTGGGATCCAACTCCTGTAGTCAGGCCAACATTTTCTCAGGTCATTGTACGGTTGAACAAAATTGTTGCAACTTGCTCAAAACAAGGATGGTGGAAAGATACTTTTAAGCTTCCTTGGTATGTTTTCTAGATTGATTATATCCCTGTAAAAATTTATTTTCTAGACTGATTGTACCTTGAAATGCTAAGGATCAATCACCCCTTGTGGTAGTGAGGCTTACCTCAGCATTTTAGTTTCAATTTGATCAATGCAAATAGCGAAAAGACTAATATTATTGTTGTACTTGTTAATGAACTCTCTTTTCTGACTTCAAAACTTGGCATTACCATGATATATTTTAAATGCGTGCAGGAAATAAATAACAGGATACATGCTATGTGGCAAAGAGGAAATCAAGTTCAGGTGGATCCTCAAAACCAGTTTGTGAGCTTCGTGTTGTTGTTGGTGTTGGTGTACCGTTGATAGCCATTGCAATTAATAACTTTGGAATTGGAATATATTAACCTGAGCTTGGATTTTGAGCGTAATTCCCCCGGTTCCACCCGGCCACTGGAGGTTCTGGAACAGCTCCTCTCTGTACAATGTACCATAAACGGCATAACATTTATCAGAAATTTTCTAATAAAAATGTGTTTATATACTTATAGATAGACTACTATGTGCTTATAATCGCATCATCATTCGGCACCCTATGTGTTGTGTGCCTTGTACCAGCCCACCACCCCAAAAAATGTTTACTTGTATGGAATCTGGTTTTTGTCCCTCAATAGTTTAATTAGGTGCTCTTGAAATAAAAGCTCATAAGTTCATGTCTTTTAATAATTGAGTTGAAATTGGTTGATAACATTAACTATTTTATGGATGAATGTAAATTACTAATAGCAATAAATAGTTACTTGATGAGAACTTGAAATTTGATAATTATATATTTCCTTTAATTGTACAAAATAATTGTGTACTACACTTTTTCTATTTTAATATTCTAGTCTTAATCTAAAATTCTATCATACTTTGTCATACTTATGTGAAATCATAACTAATTGAAATTGATTAATTAATAATATGTCTAGATAAACTTCTGTGGAAGTCTTATGAAAGTGAAAAAACGATTAATTTGAAAAACAATTGCAATATTCAACAATTGGATGGATAGTAACAAGTCTTCCAGTGATTAATTTAATATGTTAACGTGATTATATAAAATTTTTGTTACATTTTTTACTTCGAAAAAATACCATAAAAGATTGAAAAAGAAAATGTATTTAAATTATTGATTGTAACGACCAAACAACTTACAGAGAATATTGACTGCTCCACACATCAACACCAGGCTTTCCAATGGAGTTCTTATGGGTTAGGATACCGAAAAACAAATGTATTTTGGTGATATGAGTAGTTAAATCAATTCTTTTAAGCTATCCTTAAACTGTATAGTATCATACCTATACAGTCTTTAGATCCCTCTTATTCCGGTGTATGTTCGATTCTTCCATGTGTCCTCCCACTAGAAGCATGTCAGGAGCCGCTCTTTGTTTGTGCTTCTTGCACTTCGTGTCTCTTGGACTTCGTGTCTCTTGCACTTCGTGCCTCTTACAAAAATAACGAATGATTTATGCTTTTATAAACATTGAATACACAAGAAACTATTACAAACTTGAATATACGAACTAAGTAGCTTTCTCATTGGCTAAATCATGTCACCAACCAAGTTTTATGATACGATCCTTCTTTTGTTGAGAATTTTTCAAGAAAAATAGTACTACTGAGTATGGATGGCCAAACAACTAGGTGGATGCTTATCCTCAACAGAGGTATATTGATATAACATGTGTAAGGATACGTAACATGCTAAATGGATTTAAATTTTTGAAGTTGTAACTTATAGGCAATTGAACCTACGTTTTCTAGCACCATAAAAGACCTATAATACTAGAGAGCAAGTTTTAGAGAGCTTCTTGTAATATAAAAAATTGATTATAGAGTTGATGCTTCAATAAAATAAATTTGAGTTTTTCTTTTGCTTTATTATGCTCGAAGCATGACACAAGTGATGTTTAAGAACTCTTATCATTGCTTCCCTCGGAACAAATGTTCTATCAAGTGTATATTTACCTCTAGATTTTTTGAGAGACAAGGAAAAATGTCAACATACAAATCTTTAATAATATTGAAATTAATAATAAGGCATTAATTTGGTTCTTCAAATATTATTATCTCTTTTAAGTAGTCTTGAATTAGTAAAATTATATTAATAGTGCACAAATTCATCAATTTATTTACATTGATTTATTTTAAAACTCATTATTTATGTTTTATTTCTCATATGTTTTGTTTCACTATAAAAAAAATATAACTATTTTATCTTACTTGATATTAAAATATTAGTTTTTTTTTCATCTCATGATTTTTTTATATGATAATTTTTTATGAATATAAAAAAATTTAACTATTATTTATTTTTTATAATGTAGTTTTAATCATGACTTTATTATTACATATTTTCTTTTTAATAATTACATCTTTCAATATTTAATTAGATTTTTATAATTTACTTTTTAGTCTTTAATTTTTCTTAAATAGGTATATTTATAAAAATAAAAGAATAATTTCATTTTTTTAAAGTGATAAGAAAAGAAAATTATAAAATAAAAACAAAAGTATCATGTTTTATTTATTTACTTTTATTAATAACAATAATTGAATATATAAAATTAAGTGTATTTTTTTTTATTTTCTAATATTATATGTAAGACCTCAAAACATAGAGGTAACATAGTGTTTTAAATAATGATATTCTATTATTTTATTTCAAAAATATCAACCTATAACTTAATTGTTTTTATAAGGAGTTTCATTATCTAAGAAACTTTCTCCCTCTAAAACTTCTTTCTTAAAATTTCTTTTACTTTCCTTGAAACTTTAACTCCGTACTCATATGTCGAAAGATCAAATACCGCCTGAAAGTTTCTTGAGGCGAGATCTTCACTTCTAGCCAATTGGTTTCAACTATAGGGTAAGTTGGTTTCTACCCTTCTTCCTTAAATTTTGGATGTCTTTGCATGTAGGATTTTCTTTACTCTTTTGGGATTTGAGTCTTCTCTAAGACTCTTTGTTGATCAGTGGTATTAAATGTATACTTTGATCAAATTTTCATGAATTGTAGGATCAAATAGGGATCTTGGAGCGGTAGGAGGAATTTTAGAGTTCTTAAAATCGTCTGAGCGTCAACCAGGTAAGGGAAGCTAGTTTGTTTGGTTTGGATTTGGTATGCATGTGATATTTGATGTTTGTATGATGATGTGATGATTGATTTATGAACTTTAATTAAACCGTGAAACTTGGTATGTTGGGTGCTTGAGAATAGTGGTATGTTGAATTGAAAACTGATGCATGTTGGTGTGTCTGGTTTGTTGTTGTTAAAGTTTGTTTATTGATGAAGTTGTAAATGTAGATTTAGTGAGTTTGAGCTTATGTGTTGTTACAAAATTTGGGTATGGGATAATTAGAAGAAGAATGAGTTTTGGGCATAAAAGTGAGACTTTTAACAAGTAAAATTTTAAGATCATAGTTGTGGAGAAAGTCTGCAGTTTTGGGAACTGTCTTGGGGTCATTTAAGGCTTAGTTAGTCTCTTGTTGTACAAAAATCTGGTAAATCGTCTGGGTAAGAGATCGTCTGGTAAGCGGTCATTTGGGTTAGAGATCGTTTGGTAAGTGGTCCTAGTAAGGGAACGTCTGACAAGGAGTCGTCTGGTAAGGGATCATCATTTAGTAAGGAGTCGTCTGGTAAGGGATCGTTTGACAAGGATTCTTCTCGTAAGGGATCGTCCGGTAAGGGGTAGTCTGGCCAGAGATCGTCTAGGTAAGAGTAGTCTGGTGAGGAGTTGTATGGCAAAAACTAAGTTGTGGGAAATCTCAAATTTGGGGTTCCGGACATCTATTTTGGACGTTCTTTAGGTCGTTTTGGGAGGTTTTTGACCTTTCCGAAACTGTTGGTGAAGTTTTAAGGATGTTTTCCCTTGTCTAGTGTGGGTATCAAGCTATTATGATGAAAATTGTGTTATTATGTGATTATTATTTTCAGATTTGTTATAAGTGAAGTTTATGCTTGAAATACTTTGAGTATGATGATGACGACGAGTATGTTGTGATTTAAGTGAATGGTATTGGGGGACGTAAGTCCATGATCCTCGTGGAGAGGTTTCATGGTGGTGCCCGATAATGTTGCTAGTACGAACGACAGAAGTTAAGTTTGGGGTTCATCCTACGTTCTAATGATCATCCATGCTCAATTAGAGAGTGATGCGTCATGTGGTGAGAATAAAAGGAGGTCCTTGTCTAGGGGCCTTGTTTTGGTCAAAGACAATTGAAATGGACTAGTCTTGTATGGTAGCTTGGATTGAGCCAACAATATTACCAATAAAGGTGCAAAAACCACTATAACTTGACATCCATACTATATCCAGATGAGTCAGACCTTTGCGTATTATATTTTTCTAGAATGTTTGTATACTTGTTTTGGTTTGATGATCTTTGTAGAAATCTTATCCATTTTATGATATTTTTGTTTACACTAGCTTACTCTTTTGTTTGTGTTTGATTGTATGTTCTTATGTTATGTGATTCTTGGCTATGATCATTTGGTGAGTGTCAGCAGAGGGTGAAGAGATATATGTGGAGCAGGTGTTGGATGGCGGGACGAACGACAAATATTTAGTTCTCTGTATACTAGTTACTAGATTTATAGTTTTTGTTCTAAGTTTATGAAGTTAAATTTATAATTATGTTTTTGTAAAAACTTTTATTTCTCATTTTGTCAATTGTTTTATTAATTATGTGACAACTCTATTATAGTTTAATATTATATTTTTGAAATGTTACATGATTTATCGAAATTTGTTATTTATGTATATGAAAGTTTTCAATTAATTTTAATATTCAAGTAATTAAGTAATTAACATGATTTGATTTGTAATACGTGAAAATTACTTATATAACTTTATTACTTTAAAGACTTACTCAGGAAAGAGAGCTTGATAATTATTAATCAATTTCATTGTTCATTCTAAAATTAAACAATTGTAACTACTTTAATTTGCTTAAATATGTATTGAGTTGCTTAAAAAAATAGAGAAACTAAGAGTTTGAGTGTTTGGAACAAAAAGATATAGAACTTTGGTTACGATACAATGAATAAAGTTAATTGTATATGTGGATCAAAATGTTAGAGATTTTTTTATTATTTAATCACATAGTTTTATTGATGACTAATTTTTACTTATTATTATTATTGTTATTAGCATAAAAAGTTATTAGAATAAATCTAAACCCTAAACCAAACACAAGAAATAGTTAGAGATGAGTAACTTGAATAAGAAGTCAAGCAGGAAGAATTGAAAGGGTAAAAAATGAAAAGGATGTAAGTAAGAAGGGTAAAAGTGGAAACAGAACTCGTGAACAAACACACCTTAAACCTCTCTTCTATACTTTTCTAACACCCTAACTCTTTCAACTCTTCCTTTCTATATTCTTCTTCCTATTCTCTCTCCGTTTTCTTCGACCGTATAAGTAAGCTAAATTTTGCTCACGTTTTTTCTACCATTAACCCAATTCCTACTAGCCATGCAATAAACAAAAAAGGAAGATCTAAGGAATTCGAAGTCAGTTATATTTGTAATAGAACAAGATATTCATTCGTTTGATCGTTTCTTCAATCTTTGTTTCTCATCGTCTGCTGTGGCTTTTTGGAAGTCAGTTCGAGAATGGCGTCGCGAGCGATTCTCAGAAGGAGGAAGACATTCATTCATTCATACGTGAATGACGGTTTTTCTTCTTCGACTTGGTCTGTGCGTTCTCTGGAACGTGCTATAGCTACGACAACTCCTCGGATTCCTTGTAAGCACGGAACGGCGCCGTATAGAGACTTGTGCGATCGATTTGGATTAGGAAAATTCGGGAGTGCGGTTCCGCGTGACAGTTTTTCGGGATTCAATGAGCCTATCGGTGTGCGGTGGTTGATGCAATCGGCGGCGGCGAAGAAACAGGAGGAGAATGATGACGCAGTGGCGAAGTTGCGCAAAGAAGCGTCTCCTGAGGAGTGTGATCAGGCTGTTGAAGGCTTGACCACTGCTAAGGCCAAAGCCATGGCGAAACGGTCGCAAGAGTCGCCGAAGGAAGTGCAAAGCGTTTTGCGGAGAGTGTGGACTGCTCTTTTGGGAATCGGTCCTGCGTTGCGAGCAGTGGCATCTATGAGTAGGTCCGCAGTTATTGTTCCTTAAATTACACGAATTTGGATTTACTGTTGAGGATTTCGTTTAATTTGAGGTTTTAGGTAGAAGTTAAGGTTGTGTTTCGAGTATGGAAAGTGCAGCTGAGGTTTTGAAATTATTTTATTGTGGCGCCGATTGCTGATGCTGATTGAAATTTGAAACAGTGATATGTTTGTTTGTTAATGGTTGGTAATTTGGCGTTTAGGATTGGTAATGCTTGCATTTGCTGTTTAAAATGTATTTGATTTTAAGTTGAAGGTATGGTTGTGTTTAGAGTAAAGAAATTGCGTCTGAGAGTTTTGAAATTCTAGAGTTGTGCTGTGATTGCTGTTGCAGAAAGAAATATGAAACAGAGAAATGTTTGTTTGTTAATTAGTAGCGAGTTGGCGTTTTGGTTTTGCTAATTCTTGCATTAACTTCTGAGAATTACATTTGGTTTTAAATTGAGCTTATGTTTATGTTTTTAGTGTAAAATTTTTAGCTAGGGCTGAATTTGTTAGATTGAAATTTGAAATAGTAAAATGTTTATTCTTTAATGGTTGGTGATTTGGCGTTTCGGTTTGCTGATACAGGGAGGACTGGGCAAAAAAACTGGTTCACTGGAAAGGGGAATTTGTATCAACGTTGCAGCATTATTGGTTGGGTTCTAAGCTGCTATGGGCTGATGTGAGGATCAGTTCCAGGTTGTTGTTAAAGCTGGCAGGTGGGAAGAGTCTCTCCAGAAGGGAGCGACAGCAACTGACACGAACTACTGCCGATATCTTTAGGCTAGTTCCTTTTGCAGTTTTCATTATCGTTCCCTTTATGGAATTCCTCCTGCCTGTGTTTCTAAAGTTATTCCCTAATATGTTGCCTTCAACATTTCAAGACAAGATGAAAGAACAGGTAATAAATTATCAATGGTTTTCAGGCTGTATTCTTTTAGTCGGTCATTTTATTTTATTTTAAAAGGATATCAAATCAGGGAGAATATTTAAAAAAAAAAAAGTGTTTCCTCTTCCTAAACCAAACTTCCAAAAGACCTTAAAAATCAGCATATCTCATTACAAATTATATACGAGCTAATGCTAGTACATGTTCTATGTTTTCTGGCGGCTGCTGGGTGACAAATGCTGATGATCCTGATCATAAACCATTTTTCTGTCTCTATATTTTGAGCGTGTGTGCATTTATTTTCTTAATTCAGTTAGCATGAATATGTGGATTTGATTGCCCACCATAGGTTGTTTGTGTGACTCAGTTGCTTAATGTGTAGGAAGCATTGAAAAGGAGACTCAAAGCAAGAATAGAGTATGCAAGGTTCCTTCAGGATACAGTCAAAGAAATGGCAAAAGAAGTTCAGAACTCCCGAAGTGGAGAACTAAAGAAAACAGCTGAAGATCTTGATGAATTTTTAAACATGGTTAAAAATTTAGTTCAAGCAATTGTTTATATCTTTCTTTCTGAAGTTTTTCCCTCGTTAGTCATTTGTACCCTTTATTTCCTCTCTGCAGATTAGAAGAGGTGCAACTGTCTCTAATGAGGAAATTTTGGGCTTTGCTAAGTTGTTTAACGATGAACTTACTCTAGATAATATAAGCAGGTTGGTCTCGTAACCCTGTTTGACTTCAATATGCTGTTTTTCTCAGTTGTAAGGTGGTATCATGACTTCTATCGTCTCTGCTTGCAGGCCACGATTAGTCAATATGTGCAAGTACATGGGAATCAGCCCTTTTGGCACTGATGCATACTTGCGCTATATGCTAAGAAAACATTTGCGGAGGTAAGATGCATTTTGTCATATAAGTTTAGTGTTTGACACTATTAATTGCAACTTGGGGTTTTATCTTTTTGTAATGTATTTTGGAAAATTAAAAAAAAAATCTCTAGCGAAAAAGGTACCTTGTTATTTGAAAAGATTACCTCCCCTTACTATCATTAGGATACAAAATAAGATAACAAAAAATCTTATGCTTATTAATTATTTAAATATAAGTACAAAAAGCCTAAATAGAACAAAAATATTACTGTATGTTGTGGCTACAGAGAAGACCACAACCAAAGCCTTATCTTGACTGACAGGTTTAATTTCACGAATCAAATAATGTCATTGGGCTCAATCAAAGATCAAATTTATCATCAATCCATTAATGCTACCTTTGGTACTCAATTGGGTTGGACCTATTTTTGGATTGGAGTTTATTATTCAGTTAAGATTTGAAAACTGGTATCATCATGCGTGATTAATCATTTAAGCTAATAAAATATTTGTTTCTTTCAATTTATTTAAGATTAAATTGTTCAGAGAGGAAATTTTTGTAAAAAAGAAAAAATGTAGAGGAAGAACTATTTCCTTTTCTCATTGTTTTGATCTGAACGCTTTACAAGCCATCGATTAAAAGCTTTTTGATCTGCAAGGAAATGGATTTGAGACCTCAGGCTTGAGCTCCACAAAACTACTGCTATGGCACTAAAATATTTGGTACAAATCTTGGTTTGAATGTAGTTAATATAACACTTCAACCTGCTATTATATGCTGCTGCGTTCATTTTCTGGTGTTATAACTATAATAGTTTAATGAGCATCATTAGTGACAAGACAACAACCCAGAAAAATAGTTTTCTTTTTCACCTTTTAATGTTCTATACTTAAATTTACCATTTAACTTGACATACCTCTGAAGCGTGTTACTTGCATGTCCCCCTTTTGTTAGGATTAAGGAAGATGATAAATTGATTCAAGCAGAAGGTGTGAATTCTCTTTCAGAAGCTGAACTTCGGGAAGATTGTAGAGAGCGAGGCATGCTTGGGTTGTTTTCTGTTGAAGAAATGCGCCAACAGGTTGTATTGGGAACAATTCATGAATATTTGTTCTGTTTGAGTACTGGATCTTGATAAAGATATTGAAATGTCAGTTTTCTTGAATATCAAATGTTACCTTGGTGTTTCTATTCTAAAATTTGCTAGCCTGCCTTTACAGCTTCGAGATTGGCTTGACTTATCTCTGAATCACTCTGTGCCATCATCCCTTTTGATACTTTCAAGGTAATCTACTAAGGCTTCCTCCAATGACCGGGTCAAATAATAAGTTAAAGAATAAAGCTGTTTGATATGCATTTTGAAATCTCACTTGACATCATTTATAGGTCGTTTACTGTGTCTGGGAAATTGAAACCAGAAGAAGCTGTACAGGCTACACTTTCTTCTCTTCCCGATGAGGTTGTGGATACTATACAGGTTACATCTTTACCCTCTGAAGATTCTGTCTCAGAGAGGAGGAGGAAACTGGAGTTCCTTGAAATGCAAGAAGAACTTATTAAGGTAAAATATGGAAATGCATTGCTCTCGACACATGTCCTGTTTGAAGTTATCTTTGTTGCATTAGGATAATATGGTCGAAATTATTCTGCTTATAGTNGCTGATGTGAGGATCAGTTCCAGGTTGTTGTTAAAGCTGGCAGGTGGGAAGAGTCTCTCCAGAAGGGAGCGACAGCAACTGACACGAACTACTGCCGATATCTTTAGGCTAGTTCCTTTTGCAGTTTTCATTATCGTTCCCTTTATGGAATTCCTCCTGCCTGTGTTTCTAAAGTTATTCCCTAATATGTTGCCTTCAACATTTCAAGACAAGATGAAAGAACAGGTAATAAATTATCAATGGTTTTCAGGCTGTATTCTTTTAGTCGGTCATTTTATTTTATTTTAAAAGGATATCAAATCAGGGAGAATATTTAAAAAAAAAAAAGTGTTTCCTCTTCCTAAACCAAACTTCCAAAAGACCTTAAAAATCAGCATATCTCATTACAAATTATATACGAGCTAATGCTAGTACATGTTCTATGTTTTCTGGCGGCTGCTGGGTGACAAATGCTGATGATCCTGATCATAAACCATTTTTCTGTCTCTATATTTTGAGCGTGTGTGCATTTATTTTCTTAATTCAGTTAGCATGAATATGTGGATTTGATTGCCCACCATAGGTTGTTTGTGTGACTCAGTTGCTTAATGTGTAGGAAGCATTGAAAAGGAGACTCAAAGCAAGAATAGAGTATGCAAGGTTCCTTCAGGATACAGTCAAAGAAATGGCAAAAGAAGTTCAGAACTCCCGAAGTGGAGAACTAAAGAAAACAGCTGAAGATCTTGATGAATTTTTAAACATGGTTAAAAATTTAGTTCAAGCAATTGTTTATATCTTTCTTTCTGAAGTTTTTCCCTCGTTAGTCATTTGTACCCTTTATTTCCTCTCTGCAGATTAGAAGAGGTGCAACTGTCTCTAATGAGGAAATTTTGGGCTTTGCTAAGTTGTTTAACGATGAACTTACTCTAGATAATATAAGCAGGTTGGTCTCGTAACCCTGTTTGACTTCAATATGCTGTTTTTCTCAGTTGTAAGGTGGTATCATGACTTCTATCGTCTCTGCTTGCAGGCCACGATTAGTCAATATGTGCAAGTACATGGGAATCAGCCCTTTTGGCACTGATGCATACTTGCGCTATATGCTAAGAAAACATTTGCGGAGGTATGATGCATTTTGTCATATAAGTTTAGTGTTTGACACTATTAATTGCAACTTGGGGTTTTATCTTTTTGTAATGTATTTTGGAAAATTAAAAAAAAATCTCTAGCGAAAAAGGTACCTTGTTATTTGAAAAGATTACCTCCCCTTACTATCATTAGGATACAAAATAAGATAACAAAAAATCTTATGCTTATTAATTATTTAAATATAAGTACAAAAAGCCTAAATAGAACAAAAATATTACTGTATGTTGTGGCTACAGAGAAGACCACAACCAAAGCCTTATCTTGACTGACAGGTTTAATTTCACGAATCAAATAATGTCATTGGGCTCAATCAAAGATCAAATTTATCATCAATCCATTAATGCTACCTTTGGTACTCAATTGGGTTGGACCTATTTTTGGATTGGAGTTTATTATTCAGTTAAGATTTGAAAACTGGTATCATCATGCGTGATTAATCATTTAAGCTAATAAAATATTTGTTTCTTTCAATTTATTTAAGATTAAATTGTTCAGAGAGGAAATTTTTGTAAAAAAGAAAAAATGTAGAGGAAGAACTATTTCCTTTTCTCATTGTTTTGATCTGAACGCTTTACAAGCCATCGATTAAAAGCTTTTTGATCTGCAAGGAAATGGATTTGAGACCTCAGGCTTGAGCTCCACAAAACTACTGCTATGGCACTAAAATATTTGGTACAAATCTTGGTTTGAATGTAGTTCATATAACACTTCAACCTGCTATTATCTGCTGCTGCGTTCATTTTCTGGTGTTATAACTATAATAGTTTAATGAGCATCATTAGTGACAAGACAACAACCCAGAAAAATAGTTTTCTTTTTCACCTTTTAATGTTCTATACTTAAATTTACCATTTAACTTGACATACCTCTGAAGCGTGTTACTTGCATGTCCCCCTTTTGTTAGGATTAAGGAAGATGATAAATTGATTCAAGCAGAAGGTGTGAATTCTCTTTCAGAAGCTGAACTTCGGGAAGATTGTAGAGAGCGAGGCATGCTTGGGTTGTTTTCTGTTGAAGAAATGCGCCAACAGGTTGTATTGGGAACAATTCATGAATATTTGTTCTGTTTGAGTACTGGATCTTGATAAAGATATTGAAATGTCAGTTTTCTTGAATATCAAATGTTACCTTGGTGTTTCTATTCTAAAATTTGCTAGCCTGCCTTTACAGCTTCGAGATTGGCTTGACTTATCTCTGAATCACTCTGTGCCATCATCCCTTTTGATACTTTCAAGGTAATCTACTAAGGCTTCCTCCAATGACCGGGTCAAATAATAAGTTAAAGAATAAAGCTGTTTGATATGCATTTTGAAATCTCACTTGACATCATTTATAGGTCGTTTACTGTGTCTGGGAAATTGAAACCAGAAGAAGCTGTACAGGCTACACTTTCTTCTCTTCCCGATGAGGTTGTGGATACTATACAGGTTACATCTTTACCCTCTGAAGATTCTGTCTCAGAGAGGAGGAGGAAACTGGAGTTCCTTGAAATGCAAGAAGAACTTATTAAGGTAAAATATGGAAATGCATTGCTCTCGACACATGTCCTGTTTGAAGTTATCTTTGTTGCATTAGGATAATATGGTCGAAATTATTCTGCTTATAGTGTTTTCCATTTTCTCTGGTTCATATGAGAAGAATGAAGAATCTACTGGAAAGTATCGGTGACCAAAAAAGAATAATTTCAATAATTCTTTTTGCAGAATTCATTTTTAGTCTGATTAGTTAGTTTAATAAATGAAGTATTGGGTGTTGATATGCTATAATTCACCATAAGTTCATTTTCTAGGTTTACATAACTACTGATGAAAATTAAGTAACTTCCGTTTGATCAATGATTCCATGTTTCCAAAAGTACAACACTTAACAATATTACAAATGAAATGCAGGAAGAGGAGGAGGAGAGACAAGAGGTGGTGCAAGCAAGGATGGAGAGTAGTTCTAGTCAAGTTGATAAGGCCCTCAATGAGATGAATATTTCTACAGCAAAAGAGGCTCACCAACTTGCTAGAGACAGAGCAGTGGAAAACAAAGAGCAACTGTGTGAAATTAGTCGTGCATTAGCAGTTTTAGCTTCTGCATCGGTGAGAATTTGATGCCTAAAACATTTTCCTTCAATTTGGTGAATTGCTTTTTGATTCTGCACAATGTGTACTAATTAACATACTGCATATTAATTAACATGTAAGCAGTTTAATGTGTGCTTATGTCTGTTGGCAGTCTGTAAGTACAGAGCGGGAAGATTTTCTTAGGCTGGTTAATAAAGAGGTATATTTGAACTTTCAGAATGTCATTTTCTTTACATCTTCTGTAGATTGTTTCGAATATATTTTTTGGGTATGCTAAAGTTTTTATCCTCTATATAACATCATTTGAAAATTGTTATGAATGCAAGCACATTGGCAGATGTTTCCACTTTTTTAAGCTCCATGTCTCTTCCTTTTGGTCTAAAACAAAAAAGATGAAGTGCTGATATCCATCAATGAAGACACAGAAAAGATAATAGTATGCGTCTGTATAATGAATAACTTTCCATAAGATGAGTTTTTCACTGAAATCTTACTTTTAATTGAGAGTCTGTATCATTCTTTTAAAATTTTATCTTTTTCTAAGAACATTTTAGACTCCATCAAAAACATTAAATTTATATTTAATATGATTTGCAAATAAGTCAAACATTAACCTCTGACATTTTCTTAAAATTTGGATTGGCTTGAAAGGTATGCAGAATAATTGGTGATATTTCAAGTACTCATTTTTTTTTTCTTTTAAGAAGTTATTGTGTTGTGCAACTGTATTGTATCAATATTTTTTTGCTTTTAGTGGCAAACCAGACATTTTTGGTTGCTGGGTAATCAAAGACAAGAACAACACAAGAAATGAATCTTAAAATTTTTATTTCATAGAAAAATACAGTAAAATTACCCATAAACAATTTCATATATTTGATATTATACATTAATACTATTTCTATCAAATGTTTCTCTCTCTAATCAATGTATTCAAACAATCATTCTACAAATAATTCATTGCTGACATTGTCAAAAGGTAGCATTTTTAACAATAGTGATAGTAAGGGTGAAGTATATGGCCTTATGTGAATTGCATTTGCATTTGCCTTTGCCTTTGCCTTTGTATGACAATTGTAGCACTGTAAATTGATCACCACTGTGTATGACTGTATACGCATATATTTAATCCATTACCCATCCATTTACTGGTTTGTGTGTCCAGATAGAGCTCTATAATAGCATGGTAAAGAAGGAGGGTTCAGATGGTCAAAAAGATGCCTTTAAGGCATATAAAGCTGCCCGAGAGGAACATGACATTACTGCTGAGTCTGGTGAAGGGGATAAAGTGTCATCAGCACTCATTAACAGAGTAAGACCCGCATCATTTATCTATTATTAGGAAATACTAGAAACTAATTTTACACTTCTTTAATCTGTAAATATTTAAAATTTGTCAGGTTGATGCTATGCTTCAAAATCTCGAGAAGGAAATAGATGACGTGGATGCAAAAATTGGTGACCGTTGGAGGCTGCTAGACAGGTATGCACTTGCTTCAACATTGTTATTTGGGGATTTGGGGGTGGGGGGAGTTATTCTAAAGTTTAGGCAAAGTGGCCTGGCTGAGATGGTTCCTATGATCTAGCAGTCCCTAAAGGGACCTGGTGCCTTTTTTTATCTAAGGCTCTTCGACATTGTGTTTATATTGTTCATGCTTTGTCCTATTCGTATCTGATAACGTGAAATATGTGGTTTCATACTCTAATTGCATAAATTCAGTTTGGTGGAAGTTGAACTGTGAATTTGGGATTGTTCCTGCATTCTTGAATATATATTGCTTCAAGTTTATTGAACAGTAGTAATTTGACCTGGTTGCTTTGAGGATGGTAGCGCACTCTCTAACACACTCCTTTTAACACAATACTATTGGTTAAGTTTTTTTTGAAAAGATAAAATCATGAATAGATTTCATTAAATAAAAAGTGAAACTGGCAAGTCTTTGTAGTTTCCAATAAGTTTCAACAAATAATTAAAAAAATGTGTTCAAGAGGGTGTGGTGCTAGCATCTTTCTATTTGCCATTGTCGTGGAATGTTCTCTTTTGGTATTTGGATTCTTAGGGAGAGACTGATAGACTATAATCGTGCTTTATAATCTTATGAAGGATTTGTGTTATATTTTACTATTTAATTTGTGTGTTGTACTCCAAGAGAAAGATGTGAATACATTTTCATTCTGTTCTAGTTGATGATTATAAGTTGCTTGCATTTGAATGCAGAGGTATATTGTCTAAAGTCATTTTCCATGTTGAAAGGTTAACAATCAACCCCAAATGGGAAGAATACATTTCCACTTTTGTTTTAAAAGTCAAATCATGTTTGGGATGTCAGCGTGTGATTATTATTTCACAAGATAAATTTGATCGGTCATGTGCATGATAATTTCTTATTTGCTTCCAACGATGTGCATATATCAAGAGTTGTTTTGGGCCTTTTTACAGAGATTATGATGGGAAAGTAACTGCTGAGGAGGTAGCCTCTGCTGCAATGTACTTAAAGGATACATTGGGCAAGGAGGGTATCCAAGAACTTGTCAGCAATCTTTCCAAAGATAGAGGTATGTCATTTCTATCTCACGCATAACTCTAATACTTTTCTTAATCATACCAAGTCTTCATTTTGGTTGCTCTGTATTGTATCTGAAAATAGTTTTGTTTCTTTATTGTCATGAAATGAATTCTTGTGAAATTTCTTGGAATTTCACCTTAGAGCAATAGGTGACGGAACCAAAAGTATTGCTGAGTTTTAGCGGGATTGTTAGCCATTAAAGTATTATTCAGTAGGCTAAAATTCACTTTTAAAATAACTGCTATTAAGATTTTACTAAACAAGTATTTGGCACTTCTCAAGTCTCATTTACCTTTTTCATTTTAAAGTATGCGCATATTTAAATTGGTCTCCAGTTAAATAGTTTACCCTGCCAAGTTATCAACTTTGTAAACAGTTTGATTAAGGACTGTTTTATATGAACTTCCATGAAAGGAAACAACACAAATATCCATTTCCTGGGGCACTTTATATATTGAATTATTATTTTTTAATTAATATTAGCAAATTGTTTATTAATCCTCCGTTTTTTTTTTTCATTTCCTTTGGGTTCTTTTTGTGTTTCTGAGCAAGTTGGACTAAGAAATTTATCTGTTTTGAAATGACGAGACTATAATATATTCAGCGACAATATTTATCAAACTTCCTATTTAATATGAAAATAATTTCATGAATACTGTAATTACTGATATAGTTTTTTTGTCGCTACAGATGGGAAAATACTTGTTGAGGACATTGTTA